CACTTACCAAAAGTAAAATAATCTTGGGAACGTCTTCCTTGAATATTAAATTAACCAAGGTAACAAAAACATTTTTTAAGTTAATGTGTAAACATGTTTGAATTTGTCAGTGGTTGTTTTTGGCCTTGAAACATTAAATATCACCAAAATGTTAGAGAATTTCAGAACTAAGAGGGTTAAGAGGAAAGGTGGCATTTCAAGTGCTAAGTCAACATATTATTAATAACGAGCACAATCTACCACCACTGTGTCTGTCATCTGCTTGATTATCATAATACTGAACCCGGTTTGTATTTACCAGTTTCTCCTTGGCTGAAAGAGTGGTAAAGAGCCCAAGTCTTGATCACTTCCCAGTAATACAGGAATGAGCTTATCTGCACATTTTACTAAGGCTGTGCTATGAACTGAATATTTGTGGTCCCCAAATTCACATGTTAAAGTCTTAATCCTCCATGTGAAAGTATTTGGATATAGGGTTTTGGCTAATTATATCATGAGGGTGGAACTTTCATGAATGAGATTAGTGATCTTATACAAAAAAGAGACAGGGGAGTGATGATCTCTCTCTCTCTCTCTCTCTCTCTCTTTCTGCCATATGAAGATATCGCAAGAAGGATCCCATCTGCAAACCAGAAGAGGGTTCTTCTAGGGTGCCAAATCAGCAAGCAACTTGATCTTGCACTTCTCAGCCTCCAGATTGTGAGAAATAAATGTTTACTGTTTAACACACCCAGTCAAAAGTATTTGATACAGCAGCCTGAGCTAAGAATGATAGTTTAAGATGTGTTCATCTGGTGGCCCAGAAGAGGTGTGTGGGGATGAGTGGGGATAAAGAAGAAGGAATGTAAGAGAAAATTAAAGTATATGGAATTTTGACATGCTTTTAGCAGATGAAAAGTAAATCAGAAACCCATAAAGCACTAGATTTGAGATGTAACAAGTCTTCCTTTAAAGGTAAGGAAATGAATTGCTCACGATCACAGGATGACTTAAAAAGATAAGGAGGAAGATGAAAATGCACAAAAAGTGAAATTAAAATTGCATAATGTTGAGAAGATAATTGATCTGTAATACTCTTGTTTTCTTTTCTTACTTGACTTGTCCCAAATTTATATTTATGGCCAATGGCAAAATATTTATAGAAGCAAGCTCTAATATGACCTTCAGGGAAGTCTTAGAAAAAAGCTGAAGATTGGAGCGAACTATTAAGACTCTAGGACAAAGTCAGGATCTATGATAATTATACACTAAATTCTGAGTTTAATATGTTCCTTTCTCCAAACAGCAGCATTCTGTCACTCATTGTGTCAAGACTCTCCTTGAATTCTATTAATAATGGGAGAAATGAAGTGGAGAAGGGGATATGAAAGAGCATCACATGATAAAGCCATCTATATATTGGAGTTACAGCTTCAACCAAAGGAAAGTGTGAGAGATCTGTAAGGAAAACAAAAGAATATGGGCCATAGCAAGATATCTTTCTCAAGGGCATAATGACCTATATGATCTCTCTTAAGTTGGACAAGTTCTATTCCCATTTCACACTGTTCTGGTTTCAGGTAACATAAATGAAAATTGAAGTAGCTTAAGAAAAAAGAGGAAGTGAACAACTAAGCCACAAGAAGAGCTTGAATATTCTCCAGATCAATCTGAGATTTTTGATTTTTTCAAACAGTAGCTTCATTCTCACCACTGCCTGGGCATTTCTACGTAGAAGGAAACAGAATCTAGGTGTGGAGTTTTAGAGTTCAAAAGCTACCTGTGAAAGACTATATATAAACTCTTTATTCCATTTACAAAAATGGTAGATAAAGGACTCAGCAGAAGTCCTATCCAATTAACAGGGACCAAGGCATTTTACTTGGTTCAACTTGGTGTTTTAAGTTGTGTATCTTAGAGCCAGGGAGTAGGGGTTGTAGTAGTGTGGAGGTAGATCAAAGTTTGACATGTAGAATTTAGGAAATGGCTGTTTCTAGAAAAGGGGCACTCAGCAGAAGATTCCAGGTCTTCATCCATGGCTTGCTAAGTAGCACGTTGTTTCCCAGATAATTTTTATCCAGGTTGCAAGTAACAGCAACCCATTCTAGTTAGGTCCTCTAATAGGGATTTGTTATCAAGAAATATGGAAAAGTAAAGAAATACATAGATCCATCTTGGCCTCTAATAATCCAAGTATCCTGTCCTTTTTACATCAGCTAGTAAATATTCCTTCCCTACTCTGGTGTTTGTTTCTTGTAATGACTTAGATGAGATGGGAAGCAAATGAGGGTAGACATAGAAATAACTAATTCTTGACTCTAGCTCATGGCTTCTTTCTTATCCTCTGGCTTGACCATACAGAGTACCACCTTCATGTATTCATTTCAAATTATGTGAGCTAGAATCTGATTGGGTAGACAAGGCACCATCAAATATATCATGCTTTTATTGGTTAAAGCTTTCATGTCAATTCACTTTAAAGGCTGCTGTTCAGATACACATCTTTGGCCAGATATCTAAAATTGCTGTTTCAATGTTAGAACCAGTAAAATGAGGATCAAAGCAGAACAAACAAAATTAGAAGGAAACTGTGGGTACTTTGGGTAATTTAATAAGTGAATACCTTGTATGGGCTGTTTAATAGCCACAAAATATATAATACGTTTTTTTTTGAAATTAATGAATATTAATGAAACAATCCTCCTTTGCCAAGAATTATTCTAGAAGCTATGTGTGAGAACCAGGCATAAAGAAGATATACTGTCATAGAAAATCTATAAAATTGACAAGGGAACAAAAACTATCATAACTGATACAACTAGAGAAAAATCCAAAGTATACAGACCATTAAGTTTCCGCCCCATAACTTAAGCTAAAATACACGATTAATTTCTTCACTTTGTATTTTTTTTAGACATAGGGTCTTTGTCTGTCTCCCAGGTTGAAATGCAGTGGCATGATTATAGCTCACTGTAAACACTAACTCCTGGGCTCAAGCAATCCTATCCCACCTCAGCCTCCCAATAGCTAAGACAATGGGTGTACACCACCATGCCCAACTAATTTAAAAAAAAAAAAAATTGGTAGAGTGAGGTTTCACCACGTTGTCCAAGTTGGAGAAGGCCAGACCCCTGGCCTCAAGGGATCCTCCCACTTCAGTCTCCCAAAATGCTGGAATTACAAGCATAAGCCACCACACCTGGCCTATTTAGTCACTTCGTGCAACATAATTGGCATCAGAAACCAGGGTTTTTTTTTGTTTTTGTTTTTGGTTTTCACAGAGACTTAAACTTTTTCAAAAGCAAGATATCTGGTTTTCTCATTTAAATTGTCATTCTAGGGACAGAAAGTAAGTTTTGAAAAGAAGTAGCTTTTATGGGAGAGAGGTGCCTAAGAATTTAAAAAGGATTTAAAGAAAGGGAAATGAAAAGAGATTGAAGGAAAGAGGAGAAAACAGAGAGAAGTGGTAATAGAAAGAAAACGAAACAAAGATAATCCCAAAGAGCAGTGTGCACAGTTCTGCTGCAATCAGTACCATTTTGGTCAAGTTACCATCATCTGCTCTAGGCTTAGTTCCTCCCTGTCCTAGACTGCTTCTGGTAAAACCGCATGCTCAGCTTGTTTGGCGTCTTCATGGAGCCTGTTATTTGCTGTGGGTCTAAGAAAGGGAAAGCTTCAGGCTTCAGGCATCTGTACTTCCTATCTGTTCTCAGCTCCATGGAAATTCTTGAGGGATGGGGCTATAGATAAGAGAGTGGGAAACGGAGATCAAGGTCTCTAATGAAAAACAGGGTGGTTTGATTTTTAAGCTCCCCTGATACTTTTTATTTATATATTTGCTGCTTCTAGAAAAACCAAAAAAGGAAAGTAATTCATACATAGAATGCCTGTACAAATAGCAATCCAATAACCTACTACCCCCAGGAGATTCTGGTCCTTGCCAGGGTGCAGTTTCAGAGCTGTAGAAGGCAAGGGATATGTACATTGATATGACCCAGTCCCAGAATATTTTAGATTCAGAAAAGGTCAGAGACTCATAACTAGCAATGGCCTCAGGACTGGGGAGCCTGAATGCAGAATGATGACAAGGAAGAGACCTAAAGCCAGGTCTACTCTAGAATAAACAGAATCATTTAAGGTTAATGATGTTCTGATGTGGCCTCCTTAAATTCTTTCAGGCTTGAGACAATTTTTAGCCCTTTAGGTGGATCACATCAGTGGCTTTGGACAAGAATCTGCTTAATAAGAATGAACTCCAAAGGTGAAAAACCCAGAAAATCTAAAAATCAAAGGATATGGGTTTATAAATGTGAAACTTTAGTTTGGCTCAATGTTGGTCAGTTTGGAAATGTGGGAAGAACCGGAGAGATGGTATAACGGGGGCGGGAGCCAGGGCGGTGATTGGTGATTATGCTCCCACAACTACCTAATCCGCAGGGGCTACCAGTTACTTACTGATCACACTTTTAAAGTACTTTCTAATTGTGGACCATGAGTGGCAGAGTGCTGCAGGAGGGAGCTTTTTGCTGAAAGCAACATTGAGTTTCCTTTTATTTCTAGGGAAAGTCCTGTCTGTAGAGTAGCACTGTGGGCAATGGAAAAATGCTGACTTTCTTGTTTAAAAAAAAAAAAAAAAAAAAAATTTCCGTAAGCCCCCCTCCGATGGTCTGCTCACTCCGCAGGCCCGCTGTCCCCGGCCTCTGCCAGGGCGGGAAGAAGAGTGCTTCGGTGCGTGGCTTCGGGTGAGCCCTTTAAATCCAGCTCCCCCTGCCCCCACCACGCGGCTCCCTCTCCCTGACAGGTGTTTTCCCAACTCCGGAGGCCTTAGGATTTTGGGGAGTGGCTGGGCCAATAAGATTTCCCTTTGGGGGGGGGAAGGGCGTGGCTAGTTGGGTCAGAGCATGGGCGGGGTTTGCGCGGCTGAGCAGAGCCTGCCTGGTTGCGTGCAGGGTTGTTTTAATTCCCACCTCCCCCCACCTTTTTTTTTTTTTTTTTTCTTTCCTGGAGTCTTATTAATTTCTCTGTGGGGCTGCAGCTGGAGACCGCGGAGCGTTGGAAATGACGCTCGGAGCTTTAATTACTGCAGCCGCCGGACAAGTGTGAGGAAAGCTGACAGGAAAAAGAAGGACGGGATCCGGGGAGCAGCGAGAAGCTCCCCCCGCCCCGCTCCCCTCCCGATTTGGACTGAAGGTGCAAGGAAACTGAAGAAGGAGCCCAACATAGCCCTGCTGCGGGGAGAGGCCGGAAACCTACCGCCTCTTTGCAATCAACTTTTTTTGGAAACCTTTCTCCCCCCCTTCCTTTTTTATTGTTGACCAACCAGTGAGAGAGAGAGAAAGTGAGGAGGGAGCGAGCAAGCCGAGGCTCACGCGGGGAAATAGCTGCACAGTCCGGCCCGGAGCGCCACGCGCACACACCGAGCGCACTCCCACGCGCGCACACACGCCCCCTCCTCGGGCCCCGGCCCTGGACCTGCCGGCGCGGACTCGGTCGCCCGCCCTGGGAGTCGCTACACCGCGCGCGCTGCGCCCGCCCCCCCCTCGCGCCCCCACGCGCGCCCGGCTGTGGGATCTCCTCCGCGTGCCCGAAAGGGGGATATGCCATTTGGACATGTAACTGTCAGCACGGGATTTGAGACTTCCAAAAAATGAAGCCGGCGACGGGACTTAGGGTCTGGGTGAGCCTTCTGGTGGTGGCGGGGACCGTCCAGCGCAGCACTTCGCAGTCAGGTGGGTTTCTTCTGGCGCTCGGGTTGCCAAACCTGCCGCCGCCGGCGGGGCTGCCTCGAGGGGCTCCCCTGCCCTCTCCACCCATCCCGGGAGGCGTGGAGCGACCGTTTGACCCGGGCCTCTTCCGGGGGCTCTCGGTCGCCCCTCTTTCCACTCGAAACTTACCCTGTATGTGTGCGTGAGCTTTGTTTACCGTAAAAAATCACTGAGTCCCTGTCCCTTTTTTTTCTCTCCATTACCCCCTATGTTTCTCCCGAGCGTTTTGTGTGGGAGCCTAAGCGGGATCCCTTCTGGTGGCGCCTGTTGTTCGGGACATGGGGGACGCAAATCCCCAGTCAGAGGAGACTCTCCGGTCCCACTCTGGGCTCTGGAGGGAAGCAGCCGCTCCGCTGGGGCGGCGGAAGGGCTGGGGTCCCAGGGCGGTGCTGGCTGGGCCTCTCCCGAACCCAGCCTGAAGGGGGGTGGAGAGGGGCGCTCCGAGAGTCGGGCTGCGCACCTGTGTGTGCTGCTGGCGGCCTCTGTGCCCTAGTCGCCCGAGCCTCGTGAGGTCAGACGCCACGAGCGTCCGGCCCGGGCAGCTGGAGTGCAGCGGCTGGCGCTCCTCGGCCCGGGGCCCGGAGTGCCGGGCCTCCTCGGCCAGCTTCCCGGAGCCCTTGCCCGAATGACTTCAGGGGCGCTTGCTGGCCTGCCTGACCTTAAAAAAAAAAAAAAAAAGAAAAGAAAAAAGAAAGGAAAAATGAAAAAGGGTTGGTACACTCGAGCCAGAAGCCCGGTCTTCCCGTCGGTTGCCGTGTTTGGCTCCGGGAAGAGTTCTTCCTGTAGTTCAACTTGCTGTTGGCCCGAGTCCTTCAAACTTGTCTGTTTACTGCCCCGCGGTGCTGCCGAGCCTGCGGGTCACCGGATCCACCCCGGGCGCGAGAGGCGGCGGCGGCGGTGCTGGGTGCACGGCCACTGCTTGCTGGAGAGCTCGAGCCCCAGGTACCCGGGCAGGCAAAGGGCTCATTGATCCCGAGAGGCAGCGCGACTGGGCTGGCGCGCCACGCGTGCAGAACTAGTGACAGCACCTGCGGTGCCAGGAGCTCAAAGTTTCTGACACTTGAGTTTCCTGGGGATGAAAGTGGGACAGGAGGTCTGAGGAGGACCGGTGTCTGACGCGGCCAAGGGGTGGCTTTTGGAGATCCAGGGAGATTTCCGAAACCATCCGGGGCTGGTGACTGGAGCGTGGGAGGTAGCTTGAGGCGATAAAGCCCCCGGGAGTGGCGATAGGGAGAGCTTTAGGCCCCCGGAGGGTATCCTGACCTCACCAAGAAAACAGCGGGCTGTAGTTTTCCCGCTCCGCCCCCGCCGCCACCGCCGCTGCCGCCGCCGCCGCCGCCTCCTCCTCCTCCTTTGCCCAGTAAACAACAAGTTACAATCATCGAGCCTTTCAAAATGACCTTCGAATGACACATGTGCGGCGTTTGTGCTGGCCGTTTGCACCCTCCCAATTACTCCGAAATTCTTCATGCATACCAGGTCCCGCGCTCCAGCCACCTCCGGAATCACACCAACACGGACTTGACATTCCAAGCGGCCTCTTAGATACATCTTTTTTTTTTTTTTTTTTTTTTTTTATCTCCCTCCCCACTTCGAGTCCCTTCATATTTTCCCTCAATGGGTTGATTATGCACATTGACCCATTCAAAGGCAGTGGCGACCGACATGCAGGCTTAGCCGAGAGGAATTTCTACGAGGCGACCTACTGGGGGCTGTCTGGTTCAGCCTCTGCCATTGGGGGACCCCGCTCCGAGTCCGCAGCAATTTGGTATTAACTGTGCGGCTCTGGGTTGAGCTATGCCGAAAAGCCCTTTTCAGAATTTCTGCAAGGAATGTAATCCAAATTAGTTCTGCAGCTGTCCTCTTCCTCGTCTCAGGCGACACCAGCTCGCGTCTCGCTCGTCTCTTCTCGTTTCCCTGGGCGAATTGTGAGACCCACAAGTGAGCCCATTTAGAGCGCGAGGATTAGCGTGCCATTGTTGTTTCATGTGTGACTCTGCACTTGAAATTCTGGGGGCACAAAGGCGAGCCTCACTTGTTCAAAACACAAAGTGATCCAGATGAAAGGGCCGCACAAAGAAAAGCTCTCGGGTGCATCCCTGGTATAATTGCAACACGCATACTAAGGTGATCCATTGGAAACTGTAAATGCCCCGGGAGACTTCTTTTTTCATCCGTCCCACCCCCACCCTGCCGCACCTGGCAGGGTAAGTTCAGCTGGTTTTAATGTAGTGCTATTATAAAAGCAAGTTACTGTCTGGGGTGTGAGTGAGGCTCTTTGTGTGTTTGTGGCTATGTATGTGTGGCTGTGTGTTCCCAAGTAAATACATACTGCGCGTCTCCCCTCTCGCGGTTAGCAGTCAGTAGCAGTTTGGAGGAGTTTGTTTTGGTCCAAATGAGAAATTAAGTGCGGATAAGTAAACTAAGCTGCCAGAGGGCGACAAGATGTTGAGTGAATTGCTTTTAGATGAAACAAATTAAGGAAACGAGGGAAGACAATCTGCTTCTCGCATTATTAGACACGCTTGGAGTTCAGGGGAAAGTGGCATATTTTTGAAATGCTAATTTCTTAAGAAGCAGAAGGAATGCACCTTATTTACTGCTCTATGTGAACAGAATAAAAATATAGGGCGGGGGATGCTGTTGTATAGATTTTTTAGATATGTCAAAATAATTGTAACAGAAGAGGACCTTTTTTTTTTTTTTCTTTTGCTTGGAAGAAAATTCAGCTTTAGAGAAGATGCTTTTTAGAAATTCTGAAGGACTTTGTCTCATTGTCAATGATACATTTTATTTAGATATATCTAGATATATTGTAGCCAAAATCCCTTTATATGGCAATTATAAAGCCTTTGCTAACCAAAGGAATGATTCTAAAATTTATGTCTTCCTTGTATAATGGAAAATTATCAGTGTTACCTTTGTATTGAAGAAAATATACAGTTGTATTGAGGTGGTACTCTTAAATACTTTAGGAGATAAATGATGAGCAAGTTTAGTTCCCATTTCTTTTTTGCAGGTAACTCAGTCTTGCTTTTCATTCTCTAAAAGTACATATAGCTTTCTTACATATTTAAGATACATCATTTTATCTCCAAAGTCATGGGGTGTTTTTCATTTGAGAAGAAAAATGTTAATAAAACTTAGGTGGTGAAAAAGGCATTCAATATATTTTCAAAAAAGCATCAATTTCTTACAAGTGTTTACTGTAAGCACATCTATGGGTACACTGTTTTTAATTTGAAATTCTCATATATATAAGGAGCCTTTTTAGAAGAAGGTGTTATTTTTTCCTTCACAATATGTTTAAATAAATTAATATCTATTAGTGTAACTGCAAATCACTTGGAAATAGTATATGTACGGTTGTGATGAAATTACTCTGGTTATATCAGTATTCTTTTGTGTGTGTGTGTGTCTGTGTGTGTGTGCACGCGCACGCTCTCTTAAGCTCAACTGGCTTTATTTTATGCATGCATAGAAAGTGAAATTTTGTTGAAAATCAGGGCACTTACTGCTTTATATATATGTTTTCATTTAGTCACTAGAAATATGTCTTAATTAAGAAATTACATTAGAATATTTACCAGAGCATGAACTTTGTGGACGATTTATGCATTTTTTATTCTAACCTGAACACAGTAAGTTTGCACTGGCTGATTTTTAGAGTTTGCATTTATTTGATGGAAAATTATATTTCCTCCTCAAAGTAGATTCGAATATTTAGTATTCATGAGGTTTCATTCCTTTGGTTTTAAAATAGAAGTACTATTTATCATCTGTCTGATGCATTTACCCTTTCTGTTACTATAGATTCTTTCTTTGCATCTTAGTATTTATTGAGTTTACACATGTTAATATATATTTTCCTTTCCACCACTAAGAATATTGTTTTTGTGTGTGTCTTTCCCAGAAACCTGCCACTCAGCCACTGCAGGAGTCCTCTGAGCCAGTTTTCATTCTTTCTGATAAATCTGATATGGCTGGTTGGCCAGACAATCGCAAGCCATTCCATTGCTCAGATTTATTCCTGAAAGAAAATAAAAAGGCATCGATCCAAGATCACTGGCACATCTTAAAAGCCTTGACTCCAAGGCCAAACCTTTCCACAGAGAAGTCCCTCTTACCCTTTTTCCTTTCTTTCTTTTCCCCTCTTAACCAAGAAAGGAAGGTGGACCATTGCCATTTAAAAAACGCTAGTGAGGCAATGAATTGTGCTCTAAGTACTCTCTGAAGCTTGGTGATTAGAGCCACCTTGAGATTAATGGCGATGTACAGTGCCTATTTTAGACAATAAATTGAATTAGGATGGCTTAAACATTGCAATGCTTTAAAGTAGTATTGTTTTTGTATTATATCAAGCTGGTTATTAGGAAAAGTTAACAGGTTCTTAAAAATACCCATAAGTTTTGGCTTTACATTAGAGTGTTCTGCTGCTGTTTGGATATCCATTTATAGTTTGTAAGTGTCTAAAACATAAATGAAACGAATGATCAAAAAGGATTTTCTGATACCTGCAAACTTGTTGGTACTTGCTGTGTTTAATTTTACCTATTTTAAGAGATACTGCTTTGTAGAGATGCTAATATTTATACTTAAATTAATTTTTACAGGTTCAAGCCTACAGCTGTTCTACAGAAATTAATCATCAAACATATTCCACTGTTATCTTTTATACTGATCTACTGAGTATGCTATGCAGGGTAGAATTTAGTCATATTAACAACTTTTCTCCAGGTTATTATCATATCAGAGATGCTCTATTATGTTACATTTCATCATATGGAACCAAATTGCATGTCTTATCTAATATTCATTTTCCAAAGTATTATAAATATTGGGCAGAGTTAAAACGTTACTTTTTATGATTGCTAATACAGCTATTGACTGGAATTTTCAGTTTATAATGAAAAACAATCGCTTAATTTTTTTAAATAAAAGGATTATAGGTCAATGTTTCCTGT